ATGAAACACACAGAGCAGTTGCCAACAATGTGTAGCCATGGTTCTTGCACTTACAAGTTGTATGAAACACACAGAGAGAGCAGTTGCCAACAATGTGTAACCATGGTTCTTGCACTTACAAGTTGTATGAAACACACAGAGAGAGCAGTTGCCAACAATGTGTAGCCATGGTTCTTGCACTTACAAGTTGTATGAAACACACAGAGAGAGCAGTTGCCAACAATGTGTAACCATGGTTCTTGCACTTACAAGTTGTATGAAACACACAGAGAGCAGTTGCCAACAATGTGTAACCATGGTTCTTGCACTTACAAGTTGTATGAAACACACAGAGAGAGCAGTTGCCAACAATGTGTAGCCATGGTTCTTGCACTTACAAGTTGTATGAAACACACAGAGAGAGCAGTTGCCAACAATGTGTAACCATGGTTCTTGCACTTACAAGTTGTATGAAACACACAGAGAGAGCAGTTGCCAACAATGTGTAACCATGGTTCTTGCACTTACAAGTTGTATGAAACACACAGAGAGAGCAGTTGCCAACAATGTGTAACCATGGTTCTTGCACTTACAAGTTGTATGAAACACACAGAGAGAGCAGTTGCCAACAATGTGTAACCATGGTTCTTGCACTTACAAGTTGTATGAAACACACAGAGGGAGCAGTTGCCAACAATGTGTAACCATGGTTCTTGCACTTACAAGTTGTATGAAACACACAGAGAGCAGTTGCTAACAATGTGTAACCATGGTTCTTGCACTTACAAGTTGTATGAAACACACAGAGAGCAGTTGCCAACAATGTGTAACCATGGTTCTTGCACTTACAAGTTGTATGAAACACACAGAGGGAGCAGTTGCTAACAATGTGTAACCATGGTTCTTGCACTTACAAGTTGTATGAAACACACAGAGAGCTGTTGCCAACAATGTGGCAGTAAATTAAGCCGGTGTGATTCTGTAGAATATGACATTCAAGTCATTTTTTTCCTCCACGCATTTAAGTACTACTGGTACATTGTACGCAAACCTCGCTTTCAGTCTAATTTTCATTATAATGGTCCTTGCCTTAGTTGGGGTGCTAAAGGATGATGATGATGATAAAATATCATAAAGAAATAAATTGAATACCGTTATTTTGTTGATGAATTGAATACCGTTATTTTGTTGATTGAATTGAATACCGTTATTTTGTTATTTGATGTTGGAAGTTTATTTTTGCAATAATTAATACGTTCGTGTTCATGACATCCACTGTGACACAATGGAACATAGGAATGCAACAGTGGCTTATTCCCGTAACACAGCTAACAGTGGCTTATTTCCCGTAACACAGCTAACAGTGGCTTATTTCCCGTAACACAGCTAACAGTGGCTTATTTCCCGTAACACAGCTAACAGTGGCTTATTCCCGTAACACAGCTAGCAGTGACTTATTCCTCTAACACAGCTAACAGTGGCTTATTCGCATAACTCGGTTAACAATGACTTATTCCTGTAACATAGCTAACGGTGGATTATTCCCGTAAAATTGCTATTCCCTTATCCCCCCCCCCCACCCAAAAAAAACCCACCAAAAAATCTATCCACCATAATCGCTGAGGCTGACTTCCCATTGTCAAGTCTCCCTTGTCATTTATTCTTGTGGCGGCCCGCCCACTAAACATCGTTATCCCCATTTCCCAGGACCCCTAAAGGTCGCTGTCATGAACTGACTTCATATTCGGTAAATGGGAGGGTACTCGCAACTTTACGAGGGACGTCTGACGACACGTTCAGGGTGATAAAAAGGGGGGGGGGGTCTGGGTAGTAGGAATGTGAGTTCAAGCACGCGAAAATTAGTGTCCTGGTTAACTTATCAATGACGTAATGCAGGGAGTGAGGGGAGTGACGGAAGAGTAGGTCTGTTCCGACCGGCACTTTTTACTTTATGTCCAGAGGCGGCATTTTCGGTCATCTGCAACGTTTTTTTTCCTCGGCAAAAGTAGTGGCGTGCTCCGGGCGTTTCTATGGAATTTGATAAACCTTTTGTGAGAACCATTTGGTTTTTCTAAATGTGTTAGTAAATTAAATTAATTGTTAAGTTTACTTCTCTGCCCATAGTTTACTTCTCTGCCCATAGTTTACTTCTCTGCCCATAGTTTACTTCTCTGCCCATAGTTTACTTTTCTGCACATAGTTTACTTTTCTGCCCATAGTTTACTTTTCTGCCCATAGTTTACTTTTCTGCCCATAGTTTACTTTTCTGCCCATAGTTTACTTCTCTGCCCATAGTTTACTTCTCTGCCCATAGTTTACATTTCTGCCCATAGTTTACTTCTCTGCCCATAGTTTACTTTTCTGCCCATAGTTTACTTTTCTGCCCATAGTTTACTTTTCTGCCCATAGTTTACTTCTCTGCCCATAGTTTACTTCTCTGCCCATAGTTTACTTCTCTGCCCATAGTTTACTTCTCTGCCCATAGTTTAATTCTCTGCCCATAGTTTAATTCTCTGCCCATAGTTTACTTCTCTGCCCATAGTTTACTTCTCTGCCCATAGTTTACTTCTCTGCCCATAGTTTACTTCTCTGCCCATAGTTTACTTTTCTGCACATAGTTTACTTTTCTGCCCATAGTTTACTTTTCTGCCCATAGTTTACTTCTCTGCCCATAGTTTACTTTTCTGCCCATTTGAGATTCTATCTTCCCGACGGTTTTAACTGCGAAATAGTTTAGTTTGAATGTCTAACTAAAGGAAAGCTGGTGTACGTCATCCTGTTTAGGATACTCATGTTTGGGTCTTGGGAAATAAGGAATCTGAGCAAAATGAGATCAATAATATATACTGTTTTCAGTTTTAAACATTTGCTCTGAACTCATCCCATGGCTAAATATAATGTAAAACACCACCTGAACTCATCCCATGGCTAAATATAATGTAAAACACCACCCGAACTCATCCCATGGCTAAATATAATGTTAAACACCACCTGAACTCATCCCATGGCTAAATATAATGTAAAACACCACCTGAACTCATCCCATGGCTAAATATAATGTAAAACGCCACCTGAACTCATCCCATGGCTAAATATAATGTAAAACACCACCTGAACTCATCCCATGGCTAAATATAATGTAAAACACCACCTGAACTCATCCCATGGCTAAATATAATGTAAAACACCACCTGAGAGGGACGTCTGACGACACGTTCAGGGTGATAAAAAGGGGGGGGGGGGCTGGGTAGTAGGAATGTGAGTTCAAGCACGCGAAAATTAGTGTCCTGGTTAACTTATCAATGACGTAATGCAGGGAGTGAGGGGAGTGACGGAAGAGTAGGTCTGTTCCGACCGGCACTTTTTACTTTATGTCCAGAGGCGGCATTTTCGGTCATCTGCAACGTTTTTTTTCCTCGGCAAAAGTAGTGGCGTGCTCCGGGCGTTTCTATGGAATTTGATAAACCTTTTGTGAGAACCATTTGGTTTTTCTAAATGTGTTAGTAAATTAAATTAATTGTTAAGTTTACTTCTCTGCCCATAGTTTACTTCTCTGCCCATAGTTTACTTCTCTGCCCCAAGTTTACTTCTCTGCCCATAGTTTAATTCTCTGCCCATAGTTTACTTCTTCCCATAGTTTACTTTTCTGCCCATAGTTTTCTTTTCTGCCCATAGTTTACTTTTCTGCCCATAGTTTACTTCTCTGCCCATAGTTTACTTTTCTGCCCATAGTTTACTTCTCTGCCCATAGTTTACTACTCTGCCCATAGTTTACTTCTCTACCCATAGTTTACTTTTCTGCCCATAGTTTACTTTTCTGCCCATAGTTTACTTTTCTGCCCATAGTTTACTTTTCTGCCCATAGTTTACTTTTCTGCCCATAGTTTACTTTTCTGCCCATAGTTTACTACCATGGCTAAATATAATGTAAAACACCACCTGAACTCATCCCATGGCTAAATATAATGTAAAACACCACCTGAACTCATCCCATGGCTAAATATAATGTAAAACACCACCCGAACTCATCCCATGGCAAAATATAATGTAAAACACCACCTGAACTCATCCCATGGCTAAATATAATGTAAAACACCACCCGAACTCATCCCATGGCAAAATATAATGTAAAACACCACCTGAACTCATCCCATGGCTAAATATAATGTAAAACACCACCTGAACTCATCCCATTGCTAAATATAATGTAAAACACCACCTGAACTCATCCCATGGCTAAATATAATGTAAAACACCACCTGAACTCATCCCATGGCTAAATATAATGTAAAACACCACCTGAACTCATCCCATGGCTAAATATAATGTAAAACACCACCCGAACTCATCCCATGGCTAAATATAATGTAAAACACCACCTGAACTCACCCCATGGCTAAATATTATGTAAAACACCACCTGAACTCATCCCATGGCTAAATATAATGTAAAACACCACCGACTTATGCACAGCAAGTAATTGTACAAAATTAAGATGTAATCTTTCCAACCTCATTCTCTGACCAACCTAGTGCATAAAGTCAAATGATTGAGCAGAGGTTCTAACACTATGTGTTTGAAAGCTGCACATTGATACTCACAGTGCTATAACATGGCTGCTACTTAGTTGACCCAATGTCACCACATTCGTGGTCGACTACTTGAAGGACCGTATTTGGCCCACAGCCCTAGGGATCAGATCCTATGTTTAAAGTGTTAAGCGTTGTTATCAAACAGTTTTCATTAGTAGCGACTCATGTACTGGTCATTTTTAGCCGATAATTGTTATGGTGCTAAAATAAAGCAAATTATTTAATAAAATCATCAGTCTATTTATATGCCGTAAAGGTCCCAAAGTGCTGACCATGTCCGGTTAACGAAACATTATTTTTAAAGACTTTTCTTTACTATGGGATTGAAAAAACTGCTTTATGAATGCCAATTTTAATTATTTTAATCCAATGTTTATGAACACAAAATAATCATAACACATTCGCAACAAAATTATAAACAAAGCAATAGCATGGAACAAAAATAAGAAATAATATTTCAAAATTCAAAACTAAGTCAATCATTTATTGATGTTTATTCTATATCTATTTCTCTAATAATAATGTATAATAATATTGGTATTTGAGATATGAAGAAAGGATAAAATGTCAAAATAAAACAGCCAAAATCCAACATCCAATCACTAGACAGCTGTGGGTGGGGGGCAGGGGTCAGGGATGGTGAGCAGGTTGGTCTGTGTGATGGTTTCTGTCGGGTTGAGGTAAATGCTCGTCTCGGCGTGACCTTGAGCTGAAATTAACGGATAAATATAACCAACCATGAGACGTGGACATGTGGGAACTAAGAGGTCAAAGTTTAAACTACTAGTAACGTATCGATTTTGATTGGATAAGCACATAATTAAAAAGTTAGTGCTTACTGAGAAAAAAAAAAACTTTGATAAAAGAAAATAATAATTTTGTTGCTGCGATCGCAAACACGTTCTACGTTTAATTTTTGCATCTCGTTTCTCTGTCATGCCCATTGCGTGCCTCTGATTCCTAATTTTGGGGGTGGGGAGGGGTTGGAGCCCATTCTAATCGCTTGAAAAGGGGGGAGTTTAATCTCGTGAGATTCCTCTATACATGATTTTACCTATTTTTTAAATATTGATTTTTTTTTTTTAAATTCCTTTATTTTAAATTCGCTCTCGTTCGTATTTGTGTGACTGACTGGGTGGCAGGCAAAATCTTCAGACGGCTAATTGACCCATTTCCCGTCAAGCTATCGAGCTGAAACTTGGCTGATAGAATCGGTGCCGATGACAACACATTCTATCAAAATTTCAGCCCCAAATCCCAACCTCCAAGGGGAGCATGAAGGAAAATTCCCGATGAATATGCGGTGCTATGACGGGTGGGTCATTAGATTATTAATAGAGTTCAGGGGCGTGAAAAAATTGTGTGTTTGTGAGTTGGTTTTGGGGGGGGGGGCACTAATTGGAATTCTTATGAAGTGCGTCACTTGTTAGTATGTTTTTTTTTCAAATTTTCCCTTACCCCCCCCCCCCCCCCCCAAAAAAATAAAATAAATTGGCTCGATGTTACATTTTATAAGGAATGCATACGAAATACTTTCTTTTCAGGGGTTTTTGAATGTGATCATTTAAAAGAAAAAAAGCATTCAATCTCATGGTTTAAATCAAAATGGCGCAAATACGTTTTACTTGTAAAGAGCAGTGATATAAATTTTGAACTTGATGTTTTAAAGATAACAATGGTTTTAAGTATTTCGTGAACGAATGACTATTGAACAGTGACAAGGGTGCACGTCAAAAGTCTATTTCCTGATATTCATTTCCAGCAAGGACTTGCTTACCGTCGATAGTCTTGGACAACATGACGTATCTGGGTTGGCCTGGTTGGTTGGTCAACAGCAGCCTCATGATGCCACCGTTAAACGGGATCTCCCAGGCCTCCTCGGTCAACGCGTTGGGGCCGAAGCCCCAGGCCGCATCGCCTAAATACACGGCATTGGCTGTGGACACGCAGAGATGGAAAGAATGTGATCACATGATAAGACTGTACGGTTATTAACATGTTTAAACTCTTATCAAAGTGAACATTTCGTTTACATTCTAAAATAGCACCGAAAGAAAAATTTTCATGCATAATATACTGTTACACTGTTTTTATTTCAAAAACTATTTATTATGGCTATCTGTTTTTTTAAAATAAACATTTCCACAAGTATTGCATATCTAGGCACTGCACATTGCACATGTATGTAAGTGCAACCTTCCAAGCATTTCTGTAAGTATTGCCTATCTGGGCACTGCGCATGGCACATGTATGTAAGTACAGACTTAGAAACAACAGTTACTCTGATCACAACGTCTCTTGCTCATATTCTATACTTACGACTCCTACAAGTTTCTAAAGTTTAAAAAGCGTTGTTCATACCCAATGGAAAAAAAAAAAACATAACGTGTGGTCGTGTTTCAACACCACTTGTTCAATATTAACGGCCGACAACTGACAAAGAGCGTTTCTTTACCTGGGAGACACTGGGGTAGCACGTCGTCAGCAGGCATAGGGATAGATCTACAGTTGCCTTTCCCGTCTTTGAAGTAAATTTTTCTCTATGGAAATCCAATGAAGAAATTAGGGACACAGCACACGTAAGAGACATATAATGTTGATTGCAATGATATATCGTTTGAAATAGATGCTTTACAGATAATATTCGCCTCGAGTAATTCATTCCCCAATGGATGTGCAAGGTCCAATATATCCTCTACCACAGTTATACGTCGTTATGCTTGAGGTAAGGGCTGGTGGTTATGTCTCAAGATTATGTATAGAACGCACGTCTAGATGATATATCTGCATATTATGTCCAGATATTATGTCTACTTACAGCAGCTAGATCCTGAACAATGGTCGAGTTGGGATTGGACATTGCCATTATTTTCTTTGTGAAGTCTATGACGCCAACGCCAGCAACCTGAGGACATTTTTTGAAGAGTGTTTGGGGGGGGGGGGGGGGTTGGGGGGGGGGGCGGTAAAAAAAAAATATAACATTCATTTTTTAAATTTTTTTTTGAAAAGGAACACCCAAAAAACGAAAACTTAGGGGGGGGGGGGGGGTGTTGGGGTCGGGGTCAGTAAAACATAAATATAACATTCATATTTTAAATTCTTGTTTGAAAAGGTACACCCCAAAAACGAAAACTTCAACAACTCATGATTTTACAAAATTAAAAACAAAATGCTGCCAAACAAATGTCAAAGTTGTTTGATGGTACCGAAGAGTCATTAATTGATTGATGGTACCGAAGAGTCATAAGTTGATTGATGGTACCGAAGAGTCATAAGTTGATTGATGGTACCGAAGAGTCATAAGTTGATTGATGGTACCGAAGATTCATGTTGATTGATGGTACCGAAGAGTCATAAGTTAATTGATGGTAACGAAGAGAAATTTTCATAAAAATTAATATGGATTTTGATAATTATACTGTTGTTTCTTTAACACGTTTTTAAAAAATTTAAAGTTTGATTAAATTATTTTTTTTAGCTTGGGGTAATTAATTTAAAAAAAAAGAGTTTTAGTTGTATTTAATGTCAAAAGTTCTGGTTCCCATTTCATTTGGAGTTTCAGAATGGCATGATAATTTTAAACCATGTTTCACCCTGTAAAAATGTTTTCCACTACATAATTTAAACACAATAAAAATAAAATAGATTCAAATAAAACTGAAGTATTCTTGAAAATATTAATAAACTTTTCATAAATCCGTGGGCAATTTGTAAAAAACTCATGCGATCAATTCGGTGCCTTAAAATAATCTTGCTTCAATTTTGTTACAACTAAAACTACTCACGTCCGTGTTCAGGTTGAACGTAGCAAACTGAAGCTTGTCCGGCAGACACACTGTGGTCGGGTCCTTCGCACAGGAGGCAAGAAAAGGCAGCAACACGGTAATTGCCAGGAAAGCCAACATTGTAGCAGGTCTCGGTTGTTTTCGTGCAGGTTTTAGGGCCTTGGTCGAGGAGATGTCTTGCTTGGCTTATGCGTTGCCTCGCCAAAGAATAGTCCTTTTTATACTGTAAGTCGCACTCTCCACCCCTCCCCCTCTTCTTTTCTCAATAGTGTGGCACATTCCCTCAAGGACACGTGATGAAATGCTTGAGCAGCTGCTTCTATAAAACGAAGGAGGCCAAATTTCCCGGTGTACAAACATTGTTCTGTTGTGACCCGCTTCTGCGGAGTTTAGTGTTGATAGATTTGGACGCAGTGTGGCGACAACTCAATGGGGATATGCCTTGAGTCAAAATAGCGTATTGAAAAAGGAAAAGGAAATTAGAGTTGTAGATTCAAGATACATTTTAAAATTCCTTAGTTCATATGAACTTGAAATACCTTGACCTTGTAAGATAGCGTGAAAATAGCATCTGTTATGTTCAATCCGTTTATTGTGAAATTACGTTTATAAAATAAATTTTCTTTTTAAACATCATTTAAATTTAAATAAAATTGCTTCATTTCCCCCCTCCCCCCTAAAAAAGGAGGGGGGATGGGGGGCACTGTTTTCCAACATAAGGTCAAAAATGAAAAAAAAAAATTAAATTATTTCATATACTTTTCACTTTTGCTTCAAAAATAATGTTAATAAATAAATCGAAATGTACTCATAGACTTACACTATTCGATTTTAAATATCTTACAGTACGGACAATTGGCCGCTCCTGTTATAAGCCGAAGTCTTACTTCTTGTTCCCGTATATTAGTGTTTTTACTAATGTATGCTTTTCAACTTCACAAAGACTTTAAAGACTTTAAAAACACGACAAATCAATATAAAGGTCTATAACTTTAAAATATTTATTTCCGAGTATCAAACATGTGCACTCTGTTTTCAAATTATATTTTTTTAATTATAAAAGCAGGTCTTGTAAGCTATGGATAGTTGTTGATCATACATTTTGTGATGGCAACATATGGTCATTAACATAATTTAAAATGTACTCGATTCCTTGTATGTTAAACTAGATCAGCGGTCGGCCAGTGTCTTTAGTCATAAGAGCCAAATATAAGCAGCAAGACGAGAAAAAAAAAATTAGAGCCACATTCTTTTCAAGAACCTGCCAAGAAACATGTTTTTCTGAGTCAAAAACTCACTCAGGTCACCAAAGAGCCACATACGGCTGCCGACCACTGAACAAGATAATATGAAAACTTTACAAACATTAAAGTATTCGGCGGTCGCGTAAAATTGGTGCACATTTCATCATTCATTCTGACATCGAACGAGCTTGTGTTTTTTTGAAATGGGCTACTTTTGTAACACAGATCTCTCAATAAAAGACGTTTGAAACAAAAATGTATCAGAATATACTTATTAAATTCCAAACTGCCTTTCTCTTTTTAATATCAGAATCAACATTCTGCCCCACCTATTGGCACGGTTTGTTTAATGTTTTTTTTTAAAAATATATGAATGAGAGAACCCATTAGAAGCCGCCACTCTCCCCGAATTTGTGTACACTAGAAGCTCGACTATCACACTAGAAGCTCGATTATCACACTAGAAGCTCGACTATCACACTAGAAGCTCGATTATCACGCCAGTTCAATGTTTTTTTCCGGGTAATAATTTGTGGCAAAATTCTTCTTCCTAAATTGTCAATTTAAAAATAAATTCTATGGATTTGTTTAAAATGCTTGTTAAAGTAAATGGAAGAGGCGATTGGTTGTTCATCTGAAGAAAGTTTGAAATTGCAAATAAATACTTCAACTTCAATCTACTGGATTTTGGAAAATGTATACCTTTATTTTTATACGATTTCACGCATCAATAAATATATGGTGGGGGGGGGGGGGGTTGTAAACATTTCATGACTTTTTAAAATATTAGGGGGGGGGGGGGGGGTTGTAAACATTTCATGACTTCTTAAAATAATTATGCCGTTCATAGATAACCACTTTTAAAACCCATACAAATTTATAAACCTTTCTACTAAACTATTAGAAAATGTCAATATTTTACGTAGATTGATTTTTTGTTTTTCTTTTGCCCTCAACAGTCATGTCAATTGAGGGTAGCAGTGCAATTTTGTGTGTGAAGAAAACCATTTTTAAAGCTATATTGCTTTTTATTATTTAAAAAAAAAATGATTCTTTGATTAAGCAGTTCACCTCAAAAAATAGTTTTAATAATAAAAATATTTTTAAAAATATTACTTTTTAGGAATAGGAAGAAAACTTTTCTTTAAAAAGACCAGGTCAAGCAGAGCCGTCGCTTGACTTTTTGAGGCCCCCTATAATTTAAAAAAAATATTCACCTTTCAACCTTAAGAACCCGAAAAATCCCGGCCCCCCCCCCCCCCGGGCAACCGTAGTCGTTGCAGCGGCGCCCGCACTAAGGCTCCCAGATTAAGCGACTCTTAATCTGAGAGACTTCAACTCCATTTAAGTGACACAGTCTCGGCTTATATAAGTTATAAACATTGTCTTTACTCAAAAAGGTTCCCGACCCCTGTACGAAACCTTGATAAGAAATGTTAACCATTGTATTTACAGTCAATTCCATTTCTTATCTTTAGCGAGGGCGACTACACATTTGTTCATCATACATAACTGACTTTTGCATTACATTGTTATAAACATAATTGTATTGATTTTATCGCACTGTTATAAAATGTCTGAAATTTTGACAGAATTTCCTGTCATCGGCAACGATTCTTTGTGCCAAGTTTCAGCTCGATAGGATGGCGGAAAGTGGGTCAATTAGCCTTCCGAAGATTTTGCTTGGGAACACACTAGCAAAGACGAAGTTAATACAGAGTGTTTAAAAAATGAAACTTGACATTTTTTTAAAGGTTTGGTTTTGGGGGTAGGGGGGTGCGGGGTGTGGGTAATTGCTTATCGGAAGTCGCATGTCATCGCTAATGGGGTTGTATTTATAGCAAACGCAAGTTACTATTCCTTAATATTACCCTGATGCAAATCTTATTTCACACACAAGTTTCGTTTCCCCAATGTTACCCTAGTGGAACTCTTGTTTGCTACAGCCACCCTTACGGGCGGACTCTCGTTAAAATTTGGTGTTGCTTTGTTTTATTTATGTTGTATTTTAACCTCACAGCATGCTCCATAAATTTTTAAACAATATAATCAGACTTATCATTTCCGAGTGATTTACTCGGTTACCTCGGCCTATGGAAAGCCCGCGCAACCCCCCCCCCCCACACACACACATACACAACATCCCCATCCTCAAACCAGTTCTGCCCTATCATCCCAATTTTTCTTCAACCCCTGTTTAAAACATGTCTTCATATTACTGTACTACATGTCTTCATATTACTGTACTACATGTCTTCATATTACTGTACTACATGTCTTCATATTACTGTACTACATGTCTTCATATTACTGTACTACATGTCTTCATATTACTGTACTACATGTCTTCATATTACTGTACTACATGTCTTCATATTACTGTACTACATGTCTTCATTAATTAAACTATTGTCTCGTAGGTAATTGTCTTGTTTTCTTATTTCAAAGTAATTAACTATTCAATCCTATGCGTACCATCTCCTTGTCCTGATGCTCCACATTTCCACCCAATTTATTTGCTACCTTTTAACTCCTTAATCTTTTTTCTCTCACCCTCACAGAATTAACGTATTGTGCCTTATCATTACGCCCCTGACCGGCAGTGTCTTTCTGCTACGCGAAAAATGGAAACATCTTCCCACTACCCTTTCTCCCTAACTTTACCGGCTCCAACAGCTGTTGACCACTGAGCCATCACATGATCCAAGTCTTTCCCCTCTTCAAGCAAACCACACAGCGATCTCAAATATCTATAGAACAGGGGGTCACCAAAATACAGCCCGTGACGCCAGTGGATCAGGCCCGCCGGCCGTACTTGAATTTGCTTGATAAATTTATAGAACATGACACGTTGTTATGCAATTTAAATATTATGTTTAGAATACTAGGAGATCTTCACACGTGCGGAGACCTCCTAACTGTTGTGCGCCTTAATTTACCATTTTCAAATTTAAATTATTGTATCTAGATTTTCTTGTTTATTACAGACCTGTTTACTCTCGAACTCCTACAATCGTACAATATCGTCTGAGAATCGTACAATACGGTACCGTAATAGTAAATAAATAAACATACAGTATGTAAAATGAATACAATAACTACTCGCATCGCAGTGCCTTGTGGGATCGAGTTAAGCTGGCGTCAAAAAAAAAGTTAACTTCTGAAAGTAGATGACCGACGTTTATAATACAATCTGCGGTCTCTTTGCTTTGCAGACGTGTATTTTCAGATCTTTCAGAAGTGAGAGTGACATTCTTCTGCTCTAGAGTCCGTTTAATTGTAACCATGAAATGTGCCAGTTCAACTACACTTGGAGCTAGACTTAGTTTTCGTCTTCTTTCCCCCAGAGCTTTCGATCTGGCCTTAAAGTATTGTACAGAAGGATTATGCGACCCACGCTCGTCATCTTGTCAGCTCTTCGGCCCACTGCGATTAAGAGTTTGGTGACCCCTGATGTAGAATATAAGCCATAGTCCTTTTAAGCCAGTATGTCCTAACCTATTTGTCCCAAGCTCCTCTTTTCTCCCTAGTGCACACGCACCTAGTGGAAGAGCAGAAGAAAAAAAAGAAGTCTAACCAACGGGCTCTCCCATAGGACATTGGTTACAGAAAGGCCACCGCAAGTCAAAAACTTTGGGAAACCTGATCTGTGAGGGGCTGGTTTCTATTTCTTGGATCGAATAGAAGAATTATAGTTTACTCAGAGGCTTACTCCTTGTAAGGGGCGATCCATTTAGTACGTACGCACTGAGAGCGGAGGGGTGTTGATTTTGTGTGCATATGAACGGGGGGGGGGGGGTTGGCGTCTAGGCAGAAAATACTTACATTTATTATAAAATACTACAAACTCAGAGGCTTACTCCTTGTAAGGGGCGATCCATTTAGTACGTACGCACTGAGAGCGGAGGGGTGTTGATTTTGTGTGCATATGAACGGGGGGGGGGGGTTGGCGTCTAGGCAGAAAATACTTACATTTATTATAAAATACTACAATAATCTTCCTGAAATTTGGACATACC